GCAGGGGCCCGGGGCGGCTGGCGGTCCTACTCGCGTGCAGCGGAGGGCCCCTGGACCGGCCTTTGTGGTCCTGGGATGGGAGTGGCGCATCTGCGTGGGGGCAGCATCCCGGGCAGCTTGGTGTGCCGCCTGTTTCCAGAGCCTCCGACTCCCCGATGGAAGTGGGGCGCTGGAGAAATGTGCAGGGCCTGCGGTGGCTGCAGATGAGCAGGCGGCTTCTGGGCAGAAGAGGGAGGTCCCGTTCTCTGCCCGTCCGGTGGGGGAGCCCCTGCTTTCGAGAACGCGAGGGGTCCTCTGGCTTGAGAAGGGCCGCCCGGCTGGGTGTCGCCTCAGGTGGGTTCCAGAGATCCACCTCGGGGTGCAGAGGGTGGGGTGAGAAATCAGCTGTCCCTGGGACGCAGCTGGGAGGCGGTTCAGGGGTTGGCGTTTGGGGCTTGGCTGCATCAATCCTGGGGCGTTTTCCTGGACTCCTCCCTCAACGCCCTGGAGCTGTGGATGAAGCTGAGCAGCTTCGACAGGGAAGGGAGCCCCCTCTGCGACGGAGACCAGGTTCTGAATCCAGCTACCATGGAGGTGGGTTGTGGCAGGAAACAGCGATACTGACCCCCCGCAAAGGTGGGGTGTTGGGTTTGTCCACGAGTTGGGCTGTGGGCTTCGGCGGCCGTCAAACTCTCCAGCCTCGGGGTTAGAATGTGCCCGCCTGGTGCTGGCTCACAGCCCCAGCTCCCTCGCGTGCTTTGTAGGGCGGAGAGGGAGCACTCCCTGAGCACCAGTTTTCCTTTTTGCGACAGGAACCGAGGCCCAGCTTGCTAACTCTGGTTCCCCCACTGCTCGTCTGCCATGCCACAGGACTCGCTCTCTACTTCGTGCCAGTGTGGGGGCAGCGGGTGGCCACGGAGCACTTCCCTGTCTCTGAGTCAGAGGCAGTGGTGCTCACCAGCATCGCGATCTACGTGGCAGGGCTGGCCTTGCCGCACAACACGCACCGGTAACGGTGGGGCGGGAGCCTGGCCTTCCACGCACGTGGCCGGGTATACCGGGGGCTGCCCCCTGGGCTGTGACGTGTGGGCTAGGAACGCGGGGTTGCCGGGGCCAAGCGGGGCTGTGCTGCCCCGTCCTTGCCGCAGGCTGACCCGCGTTTCTGCCTTGCAGAGCCTTGATGGGGTCGGGGAGCGACCGGGGCTGGAGGATGCTGAAGCTGCTCGCGCTGCTCTACTTGGCCATGCAGCTCAGCTGTGTCGCTCTGATCAATTTCTCCCTGGGCTTCCTGCTGACGGTCACCATGGTGCCCGTGGCAGCAATTGTGCAACCCACGGGGCCCAGGTACGTGCTGGAGGCTGCGAGAAGCGGCCCTGTAGGGATGTCTGTGGGGACAGTGGGCGGGATCCCAAGAGGTTGGGGGTCGTGTGCAGTTGTTTGTATCAGGCGCCCCGGGGGGGCAGGCCCGAAGCCACCTCTTAGCCCAGCACTGGCGTTGGGGAAGCAGCGGTCTTTACGAGCACTGGACCGGTTGGGGGAGCCCTCCCCCCAAGGCTCAGCGCAGAAAGGTTACGCCAGGAGAATCACTGGCAAAGCCAAACAGCCCGTTTCTGTTCTTCCAGTTCTTGGAGGAAGGGGTTATCTTTATAGGGGAGCAAAACCTACAGAACCTTTGCATGCCTGTTATATTGTGGTTCCTCTAAGAAACTGGCAGGAAAGAGCGCTGTTGACACTGCCAGACTTGATGGTGCAATCTTGGGGTGGGGAGGGGGGAGCTCCAGGAGCTGCAGGCAGGCTATGCTTTGCCCCTCCCTGGTTTAAGCCCGGAAAGGTGGCAAGCAGCTCTACCCCAACCAACTTAGCAGTGCATGAAGAAACGCCGGAAGGGTTTCTTCCGGAAGGGTTGTGCGTCGCACCTCTGCATGATTCTCTGATCCTGTAAATCAGGTCAGCTGGAAGCCAGCAGACTTCCAGCGGGAGGGAGGAGCAGCGTTTTGGGGGCCAGGCGCAGGGCTTGCGTTGTGCCAGGAGGGCGTGATCCAGGGGCCCCCCCCCCCCCCCCCCCGCAGGTACCTGTACGCGGGGCTGCTGCTGCTGGTCACCCCAGCCGTCACCCTCCTCTTCTGCATCTTCCTGTACCAAGAGCTCATGGAGTACCCGATTTCGCTGCTGGAGGGCTGGCAGCGGTTCCTCCAGGCGATAGCCGAGGGGCTGCTGGACCACTACCTCTACGGCTCCATCGTCTTTCCCTTCGTGGCCATCTTCGTCTACCCCTGCTGGCTGCTGCTCTGGAACGTGCTCTTCTGGAAGTAGCTTTCTGGCTGGCGCAGGCCCCTGCCGTGCGATTTCCGGGAGGCGCCGCGGAGCTGTGGCCCCACGGCGCCTGTTGGCCAGGGAGATTTCTGAAGCGCCGGACCCCCCCCTCCTCCGGCAGACTCCTGTTGGCGCCCCGAACGGCTCTCCAGCAGGGCGGGAAGGTGGCGTGGTTGCCGACCTCGCAACGTTGACTGTTCGGCTGCGGGTTGGACCCTGGTTCTTGGGGGCAAGGCCAAGGGG